TGCGTTTCAATCTAAAGGATTGACAAACATATAGCTATTGGCTAACGATTACACACAGTTATAAAATTCTGACTTATACATGAAATGTTGTATGTTGTGAACATAAATATTGTAAAATTATTAACAAACCTTTTGCACCGCTTGAATTTGAGGAATTCATGACTGTATTGGCGGGCCTTCAGACTTCAGGCGAAGTTATTTTCTGCAAGTAACCATTTTTTTTATATATAAAAAAGGTTAAATCAAACATCATATTTTTTCCTTGACTTTATCATAGTAATTCAAGTGATACATTCAGAAAATTAGGCGTCTGTTTGTATGAATTTATTTTTTAAGTGTTCAGTTACTACCCATGACCTAAAGACCAATCTTATAAATATCGCTCGATGCGTATGATTCTAATGTGACCACCGTTGTTGTGACTAGCTGAATAGTTTTGCGAAAGAAAAGCATGCAGGCATGCACTTACTTTGAAAGAAGGGATAAGCTTTAAGCTTTAAGCTAGTAAGGCAGTAAAGGATATTTTCAACGGCGAACTTACAGATGAGTAATGATTCCTTTATCTCGGTGAAAAAACTCACCATTTTCGGCCAATTACGTAAACATACAGTGTTAGACTTGAAGCAACTAAGGTCAGATAGGAACGACCCATTAGATGTTGTACTTTTGCAAAAAAAGAGCCACACACCTTGCAAAATTCAAAGATGAAATCTGACAAAAGCACAACAATCAAGGCGAGAATGATGTTATTTATCCAGTGTTAGAGAGCACTGAACCAACAAAATCATTTTCTTTGAAAATGAAGGAAGAAGTAATTAACCTGGATAAGTCTATTACCGGAAGGTTTGCTTTGATTTCAGTTTTCCAAAAGGCCTTTTATACTTGAGATATTTCCTATTAAGGTGCTTTTAGCATTCTGTTGAAAGAGAGCAGTTCCTATCAGCGAAATTTAATGGAAAATAATTTTCCAGTTACTCCAATTAAGAACTACATGCGGTAACTACTGATATCCATAAAGCAAAAAAGTTCTAAATAATGTAATTTGCGCTGAGGTTGGATAAATGTAAATAAACAAATATACCTTACACCTATTTCCTAGGTTGAAAATTTCACAAGCCTTCATCTGTTCAATTGCGTTTAAGGTGCGATAGAAGTTATGTTTTTAGTTTCTTTTTCACTAAGTAGCAATTTTTTTTTTCCGGATGCTGTGCTGAAATAAAAAGATACATTACGACAGAAAAACATTTTGACCGCGACGTGATAATTGTTACAGAAGACGTTTTTTATATGTACACAAACTACCCTCATGACAGCTATTGTTTGCAGCTTTCGCTATTTTGAAAAAAGAAGATCTTTATGAAAGGATGATCTGACACATATGATTTTTCATATTGTTAATCGAACAAAAGGGAGTCATTGATCTATGCAAAATAGTGGGACACATTTCAATTCATTGCAAATTACTGACAGAAAGCATTGCAAATACTTCTCTAAGATATCAGTGATTTTGCTATGTAACTTCTTATGGGTTTTGCCAGTATTTGTTTCATTTCAATTTCAAACCGAAGGGCAACGACGCTTTTATGTCATCTGTTGTCTTCTATTGTCCAATATAGCTACAGGTATATAGACTGCTGATTCGCAGAGGATCACTATTCTGCCATGGCTATGGTTGGGTTATGACAAGCAGCTAAGGACAGAAAAAAATAAATTTAAAAAAACTATATAAAAAAAAGCTTGACAATACGACAGCATGTTCTCTACTTTGCAATACCCAAATTTTCAACGTCCTTTCTTTCAGTAAAGCCAATTGCAGAGTTTCTAGACTTCATCTTCTCCAGATTTTTCTTTCCTGAATTTTAGATAGCTGTTAAGATACGGAAACTGAACGATGAGACAGTGAGAAAATTTCAGGGTATAGGTACAATAGGTATGTTTATTTTAGAAAGTTCCACTCCACTGTTTGGTTTTTAAAAAATTACTTCCAGAAGAAGTGATTCTAGATTTTAATTTGTAATGAAGATCTTCAGAAAAGTTGTAGCGGCGAGGTTTGAGAATCGAAATGTATGGTGTAGAATACCTTCTTATCAAAGGGTTACACCTGGCAGAAAGGGCTCAAAATTGATTCAAGATAGCTTTGTAGCAAAAATATCGAAGCGCAAACGTTCTCAAAACATCGAACTGGCGGTCTACACATACTCGTATGTAGCTCGTAAAGTTTTTCTCATGCAATTTAATGTGGATATATATCGCCTAATTACCTTAAGAAATCACGATAGCTGAACCCGCGAAATTTGCCAGTAACGGAAATTAGTTTTCTAAAGGGCACTTCGTCATGAGTCGAACAGACAGTCAGGGAATCTTAGTTTAGATCACTGCGATTGCGTTCAAGTATTCCTTTTAACACCCGCAAGGTTTCCTACGTTCGGGGAAGACATTTTCAGTTCCTGTATTGGTTTCTATAGTAGGCTTAAAATAGCTTTAATGTTACTCCCTCAAACTGACTGAGCAGCTCAATAAATTGTGAAAGTAGAAGTGTTCTTTCAAAGCTTTTTTCCTCTACGTCGGGAACAAAGTACGAACAAGTACCCGCGTACTCCAACCATAGCCTGAAGTGTCAGGAGTTTCGCTGTGACGCGGATTCAGTCCGGTGCCATAAGGCTGTTTAAAACCTTATAACCTCTCACTTGCGTGCTGGGAGTGTATGTAAATCGTGAAAGTATTTCCACATGCACAGATTACGAAGAAAAATCGGCTTGATTGTACAAACTAGAATAGTCACAATAACAGAAATGAGATGATGCTGTTTTGGTAAAGAACATGCACAAAAGCCACCAAATTAGAATGATTAACACTATAAGCAACTCATGAAAGCCAGTAAAGAAACGGATATGAAGGGGATATTTAACAATGAAATAAACAAAGCTCGAACAGCACTATGCTAGTAGTGCATGACGTGTTATATAATATCAAATTTTACGAACACATCCTTGTCATACGACCACGTAAACCTTCAGTTTTATATTTTCACTAACCCTACGAGATTAATTTTTATGCTTGTCATCTTTATTGTACTTGCAAAAATCCTTATATACTAAAACTGATCAATGCACAAATTATAAAATCGAGACAAAATGCGGCAGCCGCATTCATGCTGAGTGCATGTACTATAGCATCTACAAGCAAAAGATTCACTGATTTAAATTTCACTCTTTTGCTTTTTCTATGAGTCATGCACAACTGTTGATGTATGTGCTCAGCTCTTTAGTTTTACTAGCCCCAAACGCAAAGAACTATGTACACTCGGACGCTTTGAAGAACGGTACTAAACAATGACTACAAACACCTTGATAAACGTACGCCTGATATTCTTTGACACTATTACAAAGCATGTAGTACATTGAACAGCTTACCTTTGCTTCTTGCAAATACTCATCTACTCTCAGCTACACAAAGGATTGCGACTAAAGATATATTATCTGACTTTTAATTTTTTCATTGATCCGTCCCTATTAAAAATATCCCGATGGCACTAATGGATTGTGACGACAAATTGTTACTGCTTATCATTTATAAAAATTGAAAAAAAGTTGCGAAACATGTTACCAAGGCAACCTTCGTACTGCGCCAATTAAAACTTGGCAGCTGTTTCAAGAAGAACAGAAGGTAGAAGCGATAGCGGAACACATAAAAAGGGCGGAATTGTCTCAAGCAAATTATACTTATCAAGCATACTGTATATTAAATATAGACCGTCGATCGATCGGTGGTATTAAAGTACAGTCTATACCAATCATAACTTGAGTTCATGAAATAAGCGTTAAGTCTGAATAATAAAAGGAAATGATACCGGCTTACTCATTAAAAAGATTAGATCTTACTTGTCGGTCCTGAATTGAAGTTTTAATTTCAAAAAAAAAAAAAAAANCAGATGCCGGCCATTAGCTGGCAGTAATATAACTCACGCCTTAAAAAAACACAAAGGAAAAACCAAAAAAAAAAAAAAGCCCACGGGCTTCATTTTCGGCCCGCCTAATCAAATTTTAAGGACTACAGTTTTGGAAGATCAAAACAGAGGTAAAATGCTGAAGAATAAAATTATTTCATAACTTAAAAAAGTAGGACCCCCTGAAAAGTTTCGTGTTGTCTACGAATTGTTACTTTTCTGCTAATTACCGCGGAAGTCTCGATACCCTTGCATTACTTCAAGAGTCAAATATCGTCTGGGATAACTTAGTTGAAAGCCTAGAGGGGAAAATAGAAAGGAAAAAAGAAACGTCTGATAAAAATAGATTAAAGGATGACCAGTATCACGCTATCGTCGTTGAGGGAGAAATTTTTTTTCCATTATGAAACAAAGAAACAGAGGCCACTCAGTTCGACATCCTTAATCACGATTTTATTTGATTCTGATATTTAACCAAGACAGTTTCGATCTCTCATAAGATTCACTCGTTGAATCTTGGTACACTTATTCTGTAAACTGTTGTAGCACTGCACAGATTTTCTACGCACGACTCTTCAACTCTATGACGCCGTAAAACATCACCAAGGGCTATGAAATATCGGAGGTGACATCATCGGAAGTTGCTGAGCCATAGCTTATAACTCAGTTCACACGAAACGGGAAACTACTGAAAACTGATTAGAACTGACAGCGATTCAGTTGCTGTACATTTATGTAACTTTATATAGCTGCTATCAGGAGCCACTAAAGGTTTTTATGTTAATTTATACATCTTGAAAAGTACCAGAAGGCACTTAAAATACACTTAAAAATCACGTAAAACCTGCTGGTGCCAAGTACACCTAAATGGAATCAATTTACCCAATCTTTGTTTGTGTCCTGTCATGTTTGTTCAAGGGAGGATCTTTTGTTTCAAGATACTTCTCCTGGCCTTGAGGAAGTGGTGTAGGAAAAATAAAACTGAATTCAAAAAGTAAATCAAAAAGAAAAAAGTAATGGAAAAAAAAAAAATAGAAAGTAAGTACGTAAGTGAAAGAAATATCTACGCAATGTCATAAGTTTATGTGACCCAATATTACACTTAGGAGTAATTTGTTCAGTACCTGTTTTGCGGCTTGAGAACGATCTGTACGGACCTTTGAAATATCTGCAGCAGGAAAAAAAAAATTAGTATTTTAAGAATCCTTTTGGCTAATTATGCTTTCTTATTATGTGCAACAGTAATTAACACTCAAGTAATTACTAGCAGGAAAGCTTATATAACTAAGAAGAGTACGTTTTATGGCCGTGGTTTTGTTGGTGTCAGATTGCTCGACCGTATAGCAGGGTGCGGTCGGCCTCGTGACCTCAAAGGTCACAAAACATCATGATTATCGCTGAAGATTGTTTGACAAAATTAAGGAAAGCGCTGCTCTTGGTTCAACATCGCGACTGTCAAACAATCGCGTCGTCACAACGAAAAGATTAAGAGATTTTTTCTTAGAGGTAAGATATTCCGTTATTCGAGTATAATTCTCTTATTAATTGGTAGCGACAGTGAATGTCTGAACTAGTTGAAGAAAATTAGATTTCTCACCTCGCACTAATCCCCCACCAGCAGTCACGATATACCCTCACGTAAGGCCAACTGATATTTTCTAGAGGTTCTTTATTTAAACAAGAATGTTTAAAGAGCGGACTGTTATTGAAACTAAGCAGTTCAGGTTGGCTTTACCACCATTTTCATGGATAAAATTTCCGACTCCGGTGAACCCATTACTAATTAAACATGTTATGGGTTTCTTTAAGAGTAGAACCCGAGACCATAGATATCGAGGCCATCAACCGAATTTACAAGCACAAGTACAATTGGAAAAATACCAAAACGACAAATACTCTGATTTTATGTGCAAAAAGAAGTCCTTAAGATGGAGTGCTGATAATTTGATTTATAACAAATAAAAGAAAGCAAATGTAGTGCAAACTCAGTAAAAATTAAAGTTGTATTGGGCTAAGTTCTTCACCACGGTTCGTCAGAATGGATGCTAGCATTACAATATTTCAGAGAAAATTATCTTATATGTTCAGTCCTAAATATCCCGATTCCACTTTTGCTGATCAAGACTGTGCTAATAAGCAGGAGAATGATACATATGAATTATTTCTTTCCATTAACTTAGTAGTACTGGTTGTTCAAGAGTAAAGACAGGTAGTCAAATTGAAAATTAGAGAAAATAACAGGGGAGCCCACCTGTGGAAATGCTTAAGTGGTCAACTCGACGTTTGTTAATGAATTGAAGACAGCTACAATCAAGAATAAGCAATCAGAGAATAGTCATGTTTTAAAACTTGAAGGTGTTAAATGAATTTCGTTTAATTCTGATACACTGAGCCTGGGATGGAGGACATGGTAAAAGTTGGTACTCACTCCCCAGGAATAACAGTGGTTCAAGGCCTCAGTCTAATCGTCTATTTAATCACTCTACAGGGTTAACCAGTGGGATGGGTTAAAACAATACTACTAATTAATGTTTTAATAACACCAGCTACTTTATATCGACTAGAGGACAGTTTTTATTTAATTGCTGGATTTCTGGGTTACTTTTGAATTTCAATTTGGGTCTATTTGGAGGGTTTTGAAGTCCCATTTAAGATTGAATAAAATGTTTTATCCATACTCTCTCGTTTTCAGCAAGTTGATGGTTTCTAATCGCGGTAGGATGGTACCTATCCAAGTCTGTCTCAAGGACTTCATTTTACTGTCCGCCTGGCTTGTGATAGCACACGGCGGTAAGAGAATCAATAAAAGTTACATTTAAAGGCGAGAAGAAAAATTGGATTGGAAGTTGGAGCGTGTCTAAATTGCGAACCCGCTATGTAACCGAAAATAACCACCATCTGTGTAGGTTAGGTGTTCTATGCATGCTGCACTACTTCGCAAGTGTCCCAGTGACAAAACGTCTATTTGTTTATCAAGTTGGGTAATGTACCCTGGCTTGCGTTGCAGGCGTAAACGGGGAGGGGGTAAGGGAGGCAAAAGCCACTTCCTGTCCATCAATTATATTCCCGTTTTATCTTCCCATCTCCCCCGTTTAACGCCCAGTGTACCCAAGGACTATGTCTTGCTGCAATGACATTCTATCGGCACTTGTTCCTGCACAGCCACCATTTTGTGTTCCCTGAAATTTCCGCTCGTGGTTATATAAATCGATAAAAATAAGAAAATGTTGTCTTTTTCGAAAATAAGCGTTATAGTATACATAGCTGGATGAATATTTGGCAAGATAAAGATGCATTACAAACCTTCCTTGCTGCGAAGAACTGAAACGTTTCGCGTTTTTCTTTTCTTTTCTCGTTTTGTTTTTCTCATAATTTGGTTTTTCAGCTACTATCAACTTGGCGGATGGAAATTTCAACATTACTGGTAATGGTGTAGATGGCGAGGGAACCTACTCGATCTCCGGTGGTACGGCAGAGATCGGTCTTCACGTGGTTTTAGGACAAATGGCCCAGCAGCAGCAAGTTGTCATCGCAGGAGACAAAGGTGCCGTAAACTCACTGAAAACAACCTCGCTGAGCGATCATACCGAAACGGAACTCACCTTTACTAAAGAAGGTAAAATGTTGCCAATAATTAATTACTCTTGTATCCTCTTGGAGGAACTCCATAAAAAGCGTAAGAGAAAGATCTTATGATATTACTAGGGTGAACATTATGAGTCAAGAATTTCTTTATAATTATAAAATTCTTTTTATTCTGGAGGATCGAATGTCATATTAGTTAAGTCAGTTCATTGCTATACAGAAGAAACATGTAGAGACGTCATCGACAGTAAGTAATCTATCCAAGGATTTACAGTTGTAATAAACCACCTGGTCAGAGTGAAAGAAGTTCAATAGACACTGGCCTGTTCGTCACCAGGCGTCCTGTTAGTTCGTCGGTATAGGGTTTCATAAAGCGAATGATACACGGTTCAACATCGTTCAACTTTTGTTGATCAAATGCTGAACATTGTTGCGACTTGTTGAATACTCATTGAACTTTTGTTGAGCAACAACTACACATTTTGGCGCGAATTTGAAATGGCGGACGAGGAAATGTTGCTGTAGCTTTGCGCTCGAGCGTTGTCGCCGTTATTATGAGGCGTCGACAAAAAAGACGAAAAAACCGCAAAATTTGGACCCGTGAATGGTTAAGAAATAGAACCATAATCGGAGCATACTACACCCTGCTAGCAGAACTCAGAAACTTAGACATTTCAAGCTACAGGTTGTTGTGATACTTCGATCTTATATCGCACAGGCACGGGAAAGTCTCGTACAGATTGATCAGTTGACTGGTGTTATCAAAACTCCATTCGAACTCAGCTGATTCCAATTCTTCGGCCGCCATGTTGATATTTCCACGACGTCACGTGACACCAAATTCGAAAACGGTTGTTGAAGCCGTTCAACAAGCGGTAACTTGTTGAACAGAATAGAGCCAAGGTCTATTTTCGTTCAACAACTTTTAACAACTTTCAACATGTTGAACGCATATGTCAACGTTCAACGTCACATTATACACTGTTCAACATTTGTTGAACAGCAGCTGCAACATTTGTTGCTCAACAAATGTTGAACCGTGTATCATTGGCTTTAGGGAGAGCGGAGTTTTATGGGAAGAAGAAGGAATGTCCAAAGGGCGATGCATAGAGATGAGGCAGAATACTTATGACTACGAATAAATGGTATCGTGTAAACTTACCGACTCAAACCTCGAAAATCGTTTCTAAAAGATTTGCAATAAATTGTCCGCAAAAAAAGTTCGGTTCACTCTAATATTAGGGCCAAATATAGCGATCGAAAATGTCAACAAATTTAATTTCTTTCAGATGAGGACTTTCTGGACCAAATGCTAGAGGAACACAACAAGCTTCGTTCAATTCATCTTTCCCCGCCATTGGTGAAGAACAGAAACATGTCACTTCAAGCCAAAGAATTGGCCATTCAATTGGCATCAGAGGCAAACCTAAGGCATTCTGACAAAGCCACTCGCATGGATCAAGGAGAAAACTTGGCAATGGGATGTACATCTTCTGGCCCTGGGATAACAGCCAAAGACGCAGCGAAGGAATGGTTTGTATTGAACTTACCTTCGAGTGGATCTAAAATGAATGGTTGATTTGGGCAGTGGTAAATGAAAATAACAGAATGATTAACTGAAAGAACTTCTAACCATTTATTAGAAAATCCACAGAATCGAACTGAAAATGGGAGAAATAACCCAGGGATTGACTTTTCCTATTTACATTTATGAGGAATTATCGCGCTTTTTGATTGGTTCGTACTTATGATCTACCGGAGGACAGACCGGCTTAGATGATGTCATTGACAATTTTATGTTTCTTTGTTATAATTAGAAAACAAGTAAATTCTATGTAACTGTGGTTAAACCACAGAAGACGTCAAAATGTGGTAAGAGCGTCAGTGACAATCTCGCCTAACGACTCGTTGTCTCTTTTGTTTTAACTCTTACCACATTTTGACGTCATCTGTGGTCTATTACTGAACAGACACAAGGTAACACAGAATCTTTTTGTTACCATGAAATATTTGTATCACAGGTATGACGAGGTATGCAGCCACAATTTCTACGACCAAGCCTACCAAGACAAATCTGGGCATTTCTCGCAGTTAGTGTGGAACGCTACTCGAGAACTTGGCGTCGGCAAAGCCATGGGGACAAAATTTGGCATGAATTGTACTTTTATAGTAGCTCGCTATAGACCCCTGGGTAACATCGGATCCGAGTTCGCTCATGACGTTACCAAAGGGAACTTTGACTCGTCCTACTGCAGTAATGTACAACGAGACGTGTTGCCGCATCATGGAGCTGGGAAATCAAATATTGCTTCCAGGAAGTACCGATACAGAACCAAGATTCCTCGTTTTCCGAAGATTGTAATCTTGTAAACATCATATTGAGCTTCATTTGCGCATACATCACTGATGCGAAATTTCAACTTGATTTTCTAAGAAAGTAACGATTTTGTAACAGCGTTTAAAGCAGCGTTAGTTTATTTGCTAAAACAAGTAATATATTAAAATAATTTAGAATATCACCTGAAATACCTCACCTGCCGTCAGTTTTATAGATCGTTCTTGTCGAATTAAGTTTAAATACATTGTAAATTCCTTCTAATAGTGAACGGTTTGTAAGATTTATTATAAATGATGTCTGTTAATGAAATAAAGAGGCTTATTTAATCGCTTTGAAAATGACATTAAACCGTAAGAAATTAAACAGTCTAAATTGATTTTCGAGGTTGCATGACAATACGGAAAATAACATGTCACTAAACATTTGGAAATTTCTACTTGCTTTTAAAAACAAAATTCTCGTTAATCCTGCGTTAGAGTTATTAAAAAGATGGTGTACGTACGGTAGTCCCAGTTACCGTAGAAACTGGTGATTAGAAGTTGTGCCAAGCTCCAAACTCAAATTATGACCGACGTTCGTTTCTTCTTCCATATGTAGGCCAATCTAAACTGCGTTGAAAACGCCGAGCTCTTATGGAGCTTAATTAAAAAAGCCAATTGTTATAGGGCTGAAGTGGTCCGCGATGAGACAGAGGATTGTGATTGGTTCGCTTAGCATTCCGAGTTTTGCTATAAAATCACTAAGATGGACCGCACGATCGTGAATTAAATTTGGCGACTTGCGTTTTCAATTCATTGCATAAGATAAATAGTTTTCAGCGGAGAACTCTTTTAACCTTTATGTTTGGAACACAATTTCAGTTAAATGTACAAAAAAAAAAATAAATAAATAAATAAATAAATAAATAAACGCGAGAAACCAAAATAATTGCTTAACTTTCGCGCGCGCGTTTACCGGGGATGGATCGAGAAAATGTATCCGATTCATCAGAAGAATAAAAAGAGCCATTAGATTAAAAACTCTTTATTGAACTAGATTGTTCGGTCAGTCTTGCAGAATATTCTTTTTTGCAAGTTGATGGACCGGACCTCGCCTGCAGTTCGGTCCATAAATCTGCGAAATAAAAATTCAACCGACAAATTTTTCTCCAATACGAACCTCACGCTTGTTCAATAACAATAATTTATTATATGGCTTTGGCTTGTAGCCGATATAACGCGCGCTCTGATTGGTTAATTGTCACTGAATTGTAGGGCATTATTCTCCCGTAATGCCCACGGGCCGATTACGGATTATGCA